GGTGAGGAAATGTGGGGAGTTTCTCCCCGGATCTCCGAGGGGGAAACTCTCCACGGCGTTGCAAAATGTGCTAGCTACAAAGCTTTTCCCATTTCGCGAACTCCTCCAGACTTTGCAAAGCGAGAAAGCTACAAAGCTTCTCTCGCTTTACCAAGCCCGACCTCCCAACTTCTCCAAGTAAAGCTGGCGAACCCAAAACAAGGGGAGTGAGGGACTCCGACCCATCAGGACTTGTGCTAAGGCTCGCAACAAAGGGGAGACACTCGGCTCTACGGAGGGTGTTTGGTTACGCACAGGAAGTCCTAACCTAAAGGCTAGCTCTAGGAAATCGACGATCCATCACGTAGGCACGCCGTCGCGCCGACCCATGCCGAGGCACGCACCCCGTGTGGGTGATTGAACCCACACGCCTAGACACCACTAAACCTATGGCTAGCTAGGAGTTTAGGGGATCTCACCATCGCGAAGGTTGCAGACGCGTTCTCTTTATTTGCTCCAAGCCGTCGACGTCCAGTCCGTGCTCCAATGTGCCTCGTAAAACGTGCACAGGACAACAAAAAGACAAAGGAGGTCGTAAGATATGCGAAGTACCAGAAAATAAATAATTTAGCATATAAAAATATGCGACACAAAAAAAAAGGTACCTTCGCGGGAGAAGATCGCTCGGCGACGATGAAAGAGGGAGAGTTTTCCTCGCAAAGGAAAAGATGTTTGCACCTTCTCAAACAGCGGCAATGCTCGCTCTTCGGCAACTTCAAAGTGCTCTGACGAAGATTTCGGTCGTCCGGAAGGTAGGACGGCGAGATCGAGGACTTAGTTCGCCGGCGGTGCGCACCGGGAGCGAAAGAAATGCGGAGGACAGCCCAAAATTCGACGTTCTACTTGTTGATTTTCTCCTGCATAGATACGACGTCGGCGAGGCAAAAAAAAAGGTCGATGAGGAAAAGGTCCGACAAATGGCGGGATCTCGACGTCGGAGTTGGTCCAGAAAAAAGAAAATAGGAGAAGAATAAGCAGGAAAAAAAAAGAAAAGAAGAAGGAGAAGAAGAAGAAGAAGAAGAAGAAGAAGAAGAAGAAGAAGAAGGAGAGAGGCGCGGCTAGGGAGGGCGGCGGCGTCGGTCGTGGGCAGGGGGGAAAAGGGTTCGCGAATCGGCAGGGAGGAGCGGAGCGGCTCGGAGAATGGAGGAGAGAGGGGGCGTAACTGATTTTTTGAGAGGGAGAGACATTCTCTCTCCTCCTTTTTTGATTATATATATATATATATATATATTAAAGTTATGAGTTTCCAAACAAATTAGCGAGTGACAATTTTTGGTGACTCGGCTGGTCTTGCGTGAGCAAGAGGGAGGAAAACATATATTTTATTTTTATATTATAATAATATTATTATATTAATATCATTATCCTCCGCGTATTTTTTGTTCAAATATGCCTTCACAGCGAAACAATCTCCCGTAAGTAAAATCGACATTCCGGACGCAATCGCATAGTCTGTTTCGTCATTCGGGGTCGTTCAGACCACTTTTTCAGCAATTTGGGTAAAAACAATAATTTGCGCATTTTTTACCCGTATTCGAAGCGTTAACGACATGGATGCCCTCCTTAGATAATATCGACGTCCCGGACACACATGACATTAAAAAAATGTGCCAACAAAATGATAAGTGATTAAGTATTTAAAGGAAGTTGTGTGAAGTATTAGACTTTAATGTTGGAAGAAGTTGTGATGATTTGAAACCTTGCACTTAATTTACTTCTTGATATAGCCAATTAAGATGTTAATACCTGTTGTGAGAACATGTAAGATCCAAAAAGGTATTGTCTCAGTCAACAAATGGTTAGAATCATATATTGATTTCATGAATGAGAATATAGTTCATGTGGTTGAGTGCAAATAAATAAGGGAAATAAACTTTTCAAGGGTGTAAAATTAGAGGAATTTAAAGTGACAGGCTAAAACCCCTGGTTTGATTTATAGTCTTAGGTTTCGATACGAGATGTTAGCCTTTAGGTGGAAGGAGAAGAGAGAACTCTAGGGTGAAAGCTAATATCTTCCTTGCCTAACCGGTCTTCAAGACTATTCAAACTATAGATTATCCAATGTTCTTTATAGCATCTCTAGTACGGGTACGGGTAAACGGGTAAAGAATATTATTGCTCCTATTTGACACAATACATTTTGCATATTTCTACAACAGAATTTCTATACTTATTACTGAGTCATGATAATGAAAACAATATTTTATTTATATTACCTTCATCTTGCAAATATTTAGTTAAGTTAATTAGTTGCTTAAGTTTAAGTAAGAATATTTTGCTAAGTAGATTTTTGACATCTAAAATTTTTAAAGTGCATATTGCAGTCTTTCCCGTGGGTTCGATATTCGGGGCTTAATCAAAAAGTCATATATGACTTGATAACGATATATATACTTGCGTAGTATACCATATTTAATTATTATAATTGTATTCTTATTTATTTTATAGTGGAAAACTTACCTAGCTTTTGCTTTGGATCAAGTTTTTGGCTTTGTTATTAATTAAGAATAACTATTAAATAAGTTAAGCATATAATCATGTACATCACATTTTACATCTATTTAGAAAGTTGGGATCAAGACCTGCCTTAATGGAAGGAAAACATGATTAGACACAAATGACATGTCATGCACATAAATTTTTTTTGATAATATCTTTCAATGCTGTGATGGATGTTAACAGAAAAAAACTATAATAATGTGAATGTAAGACTTACTTTGATGAAGATATGCAAAAGGCGGAAGTTGGAGATTCAAGAAATTACTATCGGTAAGCTCATTAAACCCAAAACAAAATATTTCCTTATTTTATCTCAGAGAAGAACAATTTGTAAGTAGCTTCAATCACTAAAAATCCTGAAATGGCTATGCTTCAAATTTGAGCAGTTGTGTGATGTGGATGCTAGAAAAAAATTTTGGAATGAAAAGTCACGATGCCATTTTATCTTACATAATTTAATGCCTACCGCATTTGGTAGTTTGCTGAGCAAAGTCCTTAATCCATTGATTGAAATCATTGTGTTCTTTAGAGAACTATGTGCATCTCGTTTGAAGCTTAACAACTTACGCCTGCTAAGCAAACATTCTTGCAGCACTTCGCAAGTTTAAGAGAACATTTTTCCCTGGTTTCATTGACTCAATGGAGCATCTCTCCGTACAATTACCCCACTAGGCATTAATTGGAGGTCCAGTACAATATCGTTGGATGTATCTATTTTAGAGGTAATTACATTAAGACTAGATAATTAGTCACTCTTTTATAAGGAAAATTGATAAGTTATACTGAGCAATAATTGTTTTTTAGATTTTTGAATAAATCGAAGAAAACTATGAAGATTAAAACCTGACCAGAATGATCGATATGTGAAACATATTTACTATAAGAGATAACCATAATCAGCTCCTATTTCACGAAAGAAAAGTTCACAAAAAAGTCATTAGGTTTGGTGCAACCATGAACTTTTTCTATTTTTTAGTGGTTAGGTGAAACATTGGAGAGGTGCACATCACGGTACCTTAATAATCAGGAACTTCAAGCAGTGACACTTTATGTTCTTCTTAATTGCAATGAAGGACAACCCTTTATTGAGTAAGACATTTTTCATTATAATTTTTGACTCATTTATCTGAAAAATGTCATGATTAACTATTTCAATGATATTTCAATGTGTAAACAGTTTATTCGTGGATTCGTTAAATTTATTTGAAGACAATGATACGAGCAAGGAGATCAACAATAACTTCCCCCAATAGTTTACAACACATGTGAGTTAAAATTGACATATTTATTTCTCATGTGACATGAGGCTTTTCATTAACATAAAAATTTTTATGTATATATAAATAGATTCATAATTGGAGAAATTGAGTGACAGATCAGAGCTTGATAGATCTTGCTTGGGGACCTATGCGTATCATGAAAATCTGACAAGTTTTTGATGTAACTTGGTATAAGTTTCATACCGGATTCTGGTCTGAAGGAAAAAAAGTCTTTTAATTTTGGCATTTTGTTAATGCAAACGATAAGTAGGATGATGAGATAGACTATCAAGGAATTCTGGAAGAAGTTGTTGAACATCTTATCAAAACTCTATTGGAGGAAGTGCATTCCTATTCAACATTCAACTGTATTATAAAGAGAATTTTTGTTAGATTAATGCATTGGTTTATTTATAGCCTTAGTTAAATCTTACGTCTAATTTAATAAAGATAATTTTTGTTAGATTAATGCTCAGAGGAATGGAGCATCTATGCCTTGAAAGAGACCATAATTAAATTTTGTGTTTGATTTTTTTTGTAAAGCATTTCAAAAACTTATAGTGGTGATTGTGTAATGTGATTAGTGACAATCAACAGGCTAAAATCTCAAATTTTTTAATTATTTAAAATTCACTTAAATTGAATAAATTTAAAATAAATTAAAATAAATTAGAAAAAAAATTAAATGTCTAAAAAAATGTATTGCATTATTGTTATTTTTTTAAATTAAACATTCAAAAATACAGAACTCCTTGGTGATAGTTTGCAGCCAAACGGCGCCGGGACTTTGGACGCGCCACCGAGTTGCAGGCTAGTCAACTCTGATCGACAATTCTTCTAGCGATAGAGGGAGAGTGAGGAGAGAATGGGCTGGATTGGGGCGAGCTTAGAGTCAATCCGGGCTCTTCAGTTCAGGCAACTCCTCACGCAAGCCATCACATTAGGTCTGTTCACTCCCTTCTGTTCTAGCCCTTGTTTCCTTGAATTTCTTCTCTCTTTTGAAGGATTAGGGATTAGATTTTTGTAAAATTTTGCGATGAAATCGTTGATAATCTCAATTTTGACAGTGACTATTAAATTTCTCGTATTTTTTGGTTTTCTTGATGCTTTTCCTTTCAGGCATTATTTTATCTACAGCACTAATGATATGGAAAGGGCTAATGTGTATTACCGGAAGCGAATCTCCTGTTGTTGTTGTTCTATCAGAGAGCATGGAACCAGGTTTTCAGAGGGTGAGTATTCATCATTACCCGTTTTTTGCTAGGAAACCTAATTTCTGCTAGAAATCACGAATTTCAAACCCTAATTAACTTATTTTTATTGATTCTCGAATAGTTTACAGAAGTTAGATATTGATAACTTATGTATGAGTTCATCGACAGCAATAATTATACTATCTTGACATGGATAGTATTTTTTTGTCAACTTTGAGCATTTGGATGCTCTGACATTGTAATATCCATGAAATTTATTTCAAACACTATGATGATGTTAACATGATTCAATAAATAGGATGATTTCAAAATTTCAATTTTATTAGAGCCTAGCTTGCATATTGAGAGCCTAGCTTGCATTTCAATTTTAATGACTAGAAAGTATGTATCTCAAAGAATCCTCTTCAAATGCAAGGTGGAAGAAATTAAGGATCGGAATTTGGGAGGGAGTGAGGAGGGAAGGGAGATTATGACCCATTTTAACTTAATAGGCCGTTCTACTAATGAGGGAGATGCTCTCAATAAATAGAACATGTTCTCATGGTTCCTAACATTGTAACATACTGCTCGTCTATCTTTTTAGGTGATGAAACCTATTCCTCAGTGCTATAAAGGGAGTTATAGAGTCAAATGCTTGCCATTTTCTACTCAATCATTAGGCATCAATGCTGCCCTTCTAGAAGTACATGAAAATCTTTGTAAATATATCAAGGCCCTTCTCATTTGCTTTGTTTTAGGTTTTGTAGCCATAGTTTAACTCAATTGAAAATATGACCACTTGTTGAGGGCGAGAAAAACAATCATTTCTTAAGGAAGCATCGACGTTCTATGCATGGTAAAACATAGAATGATCTGACGAGAAATCTCTCTTTGGAAGATGTAAGTCCTGCATTAGGCATGGCTTTAGGAAGAACTAATGTTGTTAGGTATGGATGTGGTCAATTATCTAGCCTTGCTTAAAGGTGGTGCCTATTAGAAAGGCGGCTCCTACTTTGAATTAACTACTATGTACTCCTTTGATGAGTGCAATCACCAAGCTCTGGTTTGATCCTCTTGCTCAAATAACGTTAGTTAGTTAGAAATATTTGAGTACCATTGGATGAATACTAGAAAATTATTTAAATTGGTTATTTTATATTAAGTCCTTGATTATTTCTCTAGCAACTTGTAACAAACACACACCCTTTAGTTACAACTATTTATTTCGGCAAGCTGGGCTAGGTCAAGCGTCGAATCAGTGGTGACTACTTATATGACTAGACAAACCAAATATGTACGGCCATGAGATGTAGGAACTAGTAATGAGTCATGCAAAATTCATGTATGACAGGATAAAACGATTATCACAAAAGGGAGATTGCAACTAATACAACCACTCCATGGCTCTCTTGGACTATAATGAAACAATTATCCCGAGAATCATTCAAGTGGATATATAATGCGCACATATTGGCAACTACTTACAATTTAATTTAACATGATCGGCTAGTTAAATGAAATTAGGCCTGATTAGTTGTGACTGCTCATATGGCTAGGCAAACCGAATATGATTGTGCATTATATATGGAACCTAATCGCAATTTAAATGCAAGTTAGGTAAGCCAAAGAAACCATTCATAACCGACCCGATCACTCCATTGCTTGATAATCTATGAGGACCTTATTTAAAGAATTGTTTGATCACGTTGTTGGATGGAAGATCAACTCACCAACAATCCATATTTAAAGACGATTCTCAATTAGATGCTCACTGATTAAGATTGAAAGGGAGATAGCTTTGAACTTTAAAATTATTTTGGATAAATTTTTGTTTTGAATGTAAATTTGATTTTTTGTCTTTTAAGGAGTTGGTTTAAAAAGAATAAGATTATTCCTATAATGTGTGGTCAAGGATAAGGTTATTTCTTATTTGATAGGGTTAGTTTTGGAGAAGCTAATGTTAAATTAAATTAATTCTTGCTATTTTTTTGTCTATAAATTTGTTATTTTTTCTAATAGAAAATATTTCGAAACATATTAAAAGATTTATTATCTTTTTCTTTGCCCAACTATTGCAGATAATTTACGAGAATTATAGCAAACAATGGGCACCATAGCAAGCAACGACATTATAGTAAAACATTGAATGGAAAAAAAAAAGAAAAAAATAATTTATAGTATATTCCTATATGAAGAAAACTCAACCGATTCACTAATTGTGGACACTTTTAATCCCATTAATAGGATTGAGCCGGATTACGTTTGTCTTGGAAATCTCTTAGTTCCAAAAGTCTCAAGCATATTTAATTTCATATCGTAATTTGGTATCATATTTTTAGTTCCAATCCATTAAAAGAAAAATTTTGTGATTAAACTCAAGGATTGGCAAGGGATACTTTTAGTGATTCTATGGAGCATGGAGGCTTCGACCAAGGTTTTTTCAGCATGAAAGAAGAGATGACAAAGAAAATGTTGATTATATAGCACAATGAGGGAACAAATGACAATAATCATCGTTGTCTTTGAAACCCTTATTGCTAACTCTAAAAAGCAGAGCCAGATCATAGAGATGATCTTCTATTCAATGTTTAAACAAAGTTAAGGGTATGTTTGGCACACTAGTTAAAATTAAGATAAGAAATAATTGGTTGAAGCTCCTTGAAATATTATTCATGGGTTATGATTTATCTAATTGAAAGAAAAATGCATTTGTTCTCTTGAAATTGTTCTCACATTTTAGTGTGTTGGAAATTCACAATTTGAAAATTGTGATTTGTCAATTTTGACTTGGCTAGAGATTAAAAAATAATTAAAAGCTCAATCTTATCTTTTTGAATGAGACAATGTTTAAAATTGTATAATTGAATATTGAGGTATTTTTTTGTACGTAAGTTGAAACGTAAGCCTTGAGGTTTAAGCCTCAAATTCATAAAAATTGCTTAAAGGAAGATACATAGTACTAATATCAATGTATAAAGTAAGATGTAACATATCGGCATCTTAATTTATTAACACATTGAAAAGTAACATATTAATATCCTAACAGAGTAAGAAGTAATAAATTGTGCAAATGAATTAACATGTTGATATCAAATAAGTAGGAAGTGTCATACAAATGTCAAATCATCAAAGTAAAATAAGATATAAAAGTAAAATATAATAACATAATAACCCAAATAAGTTTAGCATTAGGTCCTCATACCATCCTCTACTCAACTAAGAATATAACAATCCATAAACGTTAAAATTGCTAGATTTAAAAGTCCCCATTACTTTCATCACTCAATGTGTTTCATTGGAATCACTGCCATAATAAATTGCTTTGTCCTTATTCTCATATACTTATATCTACGTTTTCCGATTCATTTTGTCATCTTCAATCTCATGCATCTTCCTCTTTCTTAATCAATAATAATTAATAAAAATATTTATTTAATTTTAAAATAATGCCTATTTTGATGGTTAAAATTTCAATTACATAATTTATATGATTATAACTTTCACAATACAACAAACCTTCCATCTACTCTGACATCTTTCACATTTATCGTGGATTGATTTATAGGTTATCTTGTACCTCTTCTTGTTATCTGTGACGAAGATTACAAAGAATACTTGTCACTTGGCTTGCTTTTCTAATAAGATCGAAAATCTATTTTCTACTTGGCATGCTTTTATAATAAGATCCAACTTTTATTTCATCGTCAAATTGTCATTGCATTAAATGTCTTGACAAGCTCACCTTCTTCATATGCGCATGTATCTCCTCTTTCACCACATTAGGAACCTTGGTACATAGTGCAACATTTTTAGGGAGCTAGAACTATGATTTTTTTTTGTTTTAGGGATGTGAGGGTTGGAAGTGAATTTATAATTAATTAGCATTTGTTAAAATAATTTAATTTCTGATTGGCTCGTCTCACATATGGTGAGGCAAGGTATGTGTTGGGGTGCTCCTCAGCAAGTATGAGGTATATGCCTCACAGTAGTGCAATGAGATGTAAAACTCATTACATTATTTTGGAAAAAAATGCTGAGTCATTTCTTGTATTATGCAATTTTAGACCATGTGACATCAAGATAACAAGTGGATTTGATGTTAAGCTTTGAAGTAGGATAGTGGGTCAAATGTACAAGAATGCATGATAGAATTTAGAAGACGCATTCATAAAATATTTAACATAGCTGAATGTAGGTCTTTGTATTTAATTAAAGTTGTTATCAAATTTTGATGCGTCGAAGCTGGCATAGAAGTTACAATTGTGTGAAGAGACTTGAATTGAACAAAAATTTTCTTGCTGAACCACAAGTAGGATAGCTACGAAGGAGCAAGACAACATTGATCAAAAAGCTACGGCATGTGCTTAAGATTGATAGAAGTTATACCAAAAAATGATAACAAGATGGAAGATAAGAGAAAAGCTCCTCACCACTTCTTTCAGAGAAGTATTTGATGTGGTAGGAGTGACAAAGATGGATTTTGCATTATCTTTGATGTTGCATATACACACCAATGGTGAAGTTATGGGAGAATTGTTCCACCTTAAGCTTCTAGTAAAATCTACCATTCTTGACGTCATTTTGGATTTTGGCAGTGAAACTAACTTTATATTTGCAGTTGGATAGAGAGATTAAGGTTAATATTTTTCAAGTTAACAATTTTATATTTGCTTTTTTTAGATATTTTATTGATGAGGTAGTCTTTTTTATTGTACTATTGGATGCATGCTAGTAATATTAGATAATTCATATTTGTCAGATAGGAACACTATCTTATATAGAAGATAATGAAAAATTATACTTACAAAAGGAGGGAAAACGAATAGGTTCAACTAGTTTATTGTTTCATCTTCACAGGAGATGGTAAGGCTAGTAATCCTGAAGGTTCTGAAAAAGGGTCGAGAGTTTCCTTCTTGATAAAAAGCACAAAAATTTCATCCTAATTTTTGATTTACGACTTTTCCAATAGAATAAATCATCACAACAAAATAAAAAGTCGAAGGCTACGAGGCAGATAAGAATGAACAAAGCCATTATGTAGAAAAATGTGCTCTTATTTGCAAGAGCAAATGAACACAAATGTGAATCTGTGATTGAAGATGATCTTAGCGAAAGAATTTTGATAGAAATGCTTAATTAGGAGTCCACACAAAAGGGCGAATTGTCTATTGGATGCATGATGATCAATGTTAAGATGTACGAAAGTTGAATGTTTGGAGGGCACTAAGGACGATATAATTAGAATAACTCTTGAATTTTAAACTTATTTAAGATAAGTTTTAATTTTTATTTTAAATTTGAATTTTATGCTTTTGTGGAGTTGATTAAGGAAAGATAATGTTCTTTGATAGTGGAGTTAAGGATGATTTTTTGTTTTTATTTGATGAAGTTACTTAGAAAAAAAGGAGGGTCTATTTTTTTGCCTATAATTAAACTATTTCAAGGAATAAAAAGTAGTTTAGGATCTCCCAAATGGTTTCCTCCCCCTTCCTCTTTGTTTGGGTATTATAGCAACAACACGAATGTCATAGCGATTGTGGATACTATATCATATCGTGGTTATTATAGAAAAGTATAGTATAACACAAAAATTAGGTATAACATTTCTACGATAAGAAAACTCAACTAATTCTCTTATTGTTTTTTATATTATTATTATTATTGTTATTATTTTCTTTTTTTGCTTTTTTATAATTGTTGGCTCTTGTCATTGTGTTAAAAAGATTGTGCTAGACCACCTTTGATCTTTCTTAGAAAAATTTTATCGCTTCCAAAAGTCTTATGGACATCCAATTTCAGATTATTGGACTGAACAACACTGCATGTTCATCTTGGGAATCATTCGTGTGGATCTTTGAGAAACATTCCTACATTGATTCCCAAGAGTGCTTTTAGGAAAAACTTACTGGACAATTACAATTAGCTAGTCGGATAAATACCAAATATACATTGATGCAATTCCTATTAATAGAAACCGAACAACACAACATGATTTACTTATTTGCTTAACTCAGAATGCTCATACTAAATCAAAAGAATATAGGGAGATGAAGCACTAAACTCAGAAGACAAGGTTGGTAATGGACTCAGGCACTCTCACATGGCTGTAAACAAAACTTTCTCATCAATCAATCCAAAACACATATCCTACATACAAGAATAAAAATTGTTGATGACGCCAAAATCATCAACTTATTCTAAATGTGTGACTTTGAGGGTACAATTGACAGAGAATATATAAGATCTTATCCGCTACTTCATATCAATAATGAACAATCCATTATGCATGTTGGGAGTAGTGCAACTTTTAGCTTTTGGTAGAGTATCTAGGGAGAGTAAAAGCAGGGGCGATCTGAGGTGGGGCTAAGGGGGCACGTGCCTTGCCTTTCATTCATTCTCACACAAACCACGAAACACCTCCACTATTCACACTTGCATGCAGGCCTTGCCTCCTCACACCGTCTGCCACACCGTCTGCCTATCTGTCGACAATCCACTCCAAGCCACACACCATTTTTCTCTCACTTTTTCTCGAAATCTTCCTTTAATCTGGCTAGTCTCACACATGCCTCTCCTTCTACGCTTTGGCGATGCCACGCAAGAATCACACAGCTTCTACGCTCATCACCTCACCCATCCCAATCTCTCTCACTCCTCTTCCTCCTAGCCCTCCTCCCTCTCATCTTTCCTTTGTTGTACTCCACCTGCTCGACACACACACCCACTTCTCTCTGTTTCTTACTCGCCCCAATCCCACAAACGCCGAACACCCCCTGATTTCGAACATCACGAACGGCGATCTCTTTTCTGCCAAGTGTCTGTGCTTCCAACCAGTGACTCTTATGACACTTTTTTGCTACAAACTCCAAATCGAACCCATGCATAGTAGCCACACATCCCTTCTCATTTTCTGCACTAGTTATCCGTTTGCCCTCCAACACCATCTGCTTGCCTGCCATTCTCACCTTCAGACCAAAATTATGCGAATTCGTAAAATAATTTAGCTCCCACCCATTCTTGATTTTGTACTTATGTAACCAATTCTCATGCTCATAATTCCTGGATCATATAGCCCAAACTCAGCCCCTCACCAAAATCAAATCAATTTCTTATGAAAATTAATTCATTAAATATTCTTTATGTACTTAATTATTTCATGATGATATGTTACGAGACGGCACAACTGCAATTTTTTTTTTTTTTTTATCGTAATTGATTTCATTTTGTTAGATATAAAGTATCCAGAAAGAAAAAAAATCCGCTATATAGACCCCAATAATGAATGAAAAAGTTGAGTGATTTTTTGAAAAGATGTTTTGCCTCCGTTTTGAAAATATTTTGGCTCTGCCACTACTGTTTGGGGGCAAGTTATGATGAAATTTGATCCAAATTTTAGGTTTATAGACAACGATTAAGTTGTGCAATTCCAAGCTTAATACAAATTTTTCTTCTTTTGTGCCTTAACTAACATCAAATTCACTTGAAGGGTAGCAAGGATAATCTATTGATCCAATGCCAAAATTATTCTTAACCATTATATAATGGTAGTTTAAATTATTTTTGCTATGACCTTAAAAAAATGTAGCATGTTTCTAAAAGAGATAATAATTATCTTTATTTTGCAAAAGTTGAGTATCGACTTATCCAGTTTTAGCAAGAACAAAGGAGACTCTAACACCACTGCTGGTCCATTCTTTCATCTTATCCTTAAGAAATTAAGGTTTTATGTATTGCACACATTGACTAGTCATTTCACGTAAAGAATGTGGTTATTATGAGCGGCATTTATGTAGCTCATCTTTTCTCTCATCATATGAAATCACAAATTAGCTCATCTGCTAACACTAATTCACAGGGAAATAAGAGTAAAGTCTTTCATATTGACAGTACCATTCATTCTGCTTGGGCATTGAGATCCCTTGTTATTGCTTGAGTTTTTGGTTAGTTGATTGGGGCATTTACATGCACGCCACCCAATTCTTATGTATTTACACATCTAACACCTAAATATTACTTTTTACATACCACCCAAATCTTTCATATCACATAAAAAATACCACTATTTTACCTTTTATAAATTGAAATACACCTTTTCTTGCATAGGTGGTGACAGATGTGTAAAAATTGAAATTTAGGTGTTTGATATGTGAATATATAGCAATTAAGTGGTATGTATGTAAATCTTCCTAGTTAATTTTGTTGTTTGTTATGTTTTAGTTGTTTGCTTTTGAACATCCTGTGATCAATTTTTATTTCTAAATTTGTTGAAGCTGTTGATATACTTTATAGGGTGATATTCTGTTCTTACACATGAGCAAAGACCCGATTCGTGCTGGTGAAATAGTTGTATATAATATCAAGGTATGTCTCCTTCAGTGGATAGCATACCAGAAATAAACAAATCATACAAAGTTAAGCATAGTGAAAAGTTGTTGTAAAGTTGGCAATATCAGCTGCTGCTAATTGTAACGAAAAAATGTGGCCTTTATTTGCATTATTTGCTTTCAGAACAACCATCATTGTCTTCATTGTTATCGCGCCAGCAGCAGTAATTGCTGCCATATCCATTTAATTTTTCCTTTTATTTTTTTAATTTGTCATGTTCATTCTAGTTGCTTGTCTGATTTGTTATATACTTTTGCTTGTTTCCAAATACCTCTTGAATTTATTTCTTTATTTCTTTATTTTCAGTAGGATTAACACTTCTATAATATAGACATTTGGCATTATACCCTTTTAGTTTCAATACCCGTCCATCTTAGTGTTCTAGTTTCTTTCACTCGTTATGTTTAGCTTTCTTCTTTTCCAAACACCGGGTCAGCAAATCAGTCAGTCTTGTTGCCATCCTGCTCATAACAGTGAAAAACCAGACCATTAAGATTTGGTAAAAGTTTTCGTTATCCAGTTTAAGTTATTATTTATGGTCTTTGGAAAGATAGAGATGATCAAATTGAATGAACTGAAATGTAGTTGTTAAGCGGCCCGCTTTAAACTCTTGCTCTCATATCTTACATTTCAAGCTTATGTTATGGTTTTTGTTATTGTGGATTACATCGTGTTGACTAATTTTTGTTTTCTACTAAGAGTGAATGCTTTACTTGTGTTAACACCGAGTTTGAGGGCGTAACCATTGGGTTTAATCGGTGACAAATTCTTATCCGACATTAGAAGTGGAAACCAACACCCACTCTCAAGGATGATGTTAGGGGTATTTGCAGTGGTTATAGGCAGTGATTTTGCAATTAAAGAATTTATGTGGTCCTCTTGGACATTGTAAATGAATACTTTCCTTTTTCTCTTCCTGAGTATATGAAAACATATGCTACATATTTATATATACTCCAATCTCTATAGATTAGGAATTTTTTCTAATAGAGGAAGGATACTACAATTTGATCTCTTCTAATTAGGTTACCTATTTATTAGATTTCCTATCATCCAACTTCCTAATATAAAAGCTTTCTAATATACAACAATCATATCTATTACTTTCCATAATATTGTGGAGCATAGATATTTATTGTGTCCAACTTATTACAAATATAAGTGAATCTAGCTTCGTTAAGGGCCTTTGTGAAGATGTCCCCTAGTTGTTCTCCAATTTTTACATGAGCTGTAAAAATAAAATTTTGTTGAATCTCTTCACGAACAAAATGACGGTCTATCTCAGTGTGCTTAGTTCATTCATAGAAGACAAAGTTTGAGACAATATGGATTGCAGCTTGGTCATCACACCCAAACTTTGTTGGGACTGTGTAATGTCCAAATTTTGAGAAACCATGTAAAGTTCAGTAAATTTGAAAAATACCTCAAATTTTGCATCTTCCAGAATTCGATAGAAATAATTTTATAAAATTCTATGCATGAAATCGATTATTTCATATAAAGCCTTATACATGAATTGTTAATAGATTGGGAGATATAAATATGGACGTTATATGTTTAATTAATTTAATTGACTTAATTCAATTCCTAATCTCTTGTTCATACATTGTTCCACATCGCCTCTCACTCCTTTTATTCGCTGGTTTTGGTCGAATAGGGCTCCAGAGCCTTTTCATTCTTCCCCTCTCCCGGTTTCCTTCCGTCTCCCATATTCTCCCCCTCCCACGCTTCAACGGCTCGACTGTAGGATACTTATGATCCTGCACCTTAGCAAATGGGCGATTGGTAGGTCTAGGAGCTGCACGCAGTGATCCGAAGTTCTGGGGTGATTTCTATAAGTACGAAACACATTTTAGCGTCATTTGAGGTTTCCTTTCCTTCCTCACACTTTCATTTTGAAGTTTGCCTCGTTTTTCATGGAATTTTCATTTTCAGTAGTCGTCGGAGGTGTCAAACTCGTGTCAGAAGCGTCAAAAATGATTTGAAAGCTTCCTTACGGGTTTTAGCACGAAATCAACAAAGGGGAGGTGAGTTTTGAGGTGTTAGGAAGAGTTGGGGAGAAAATGGGCAGTTTCGGAAGGGCCAGTTATGCCGAGAAATCCGTTTGAGATATGTTTTGGTTAGCTAAATTATGCTTTCGGCTAAATCACGATAAGCGCTTGGATTTTTTGTTTCCTATAATGCTTATGAATTTTTAAGTTGTTTATACAAGGCGACGAACTCAAGACGAGTGTGAGAATATTCGTCGTAGGGCTGTTCTGTCAAGTTAGGTGAACTAATTATGCTAATTTAAGAAAATAATCTTTTATTGATTTTCATGTGATTCCACGTTTGATATTAATACATTTAGAAATTCTTGCATATTATGGATGAAAACCTGCAAGTGAATGTATAAATGCATGTTAACTACTTTTACGATATATATGATGCTATGCTAAGACACTGCAAATATTCACTTATGATTCATACATGTATATGGAATGTCTATGAATGCATGCAACAAGTATTATGCTTTAAATAATGTCACGAAGAGTGTTATGGGTAGACTATTGAATGAGTGTTTGCAAGTACACTATACAGAGGTGATATTCCCGACTCTTGATACTCTGGAATGCGATTAGGCGGTGATAGAACATTGGGGAACCATTGGTAACAAGGGGGTTTTTGATAACTATATGTTGGGGGACGCCTAACTTTTATCAATAATTTGTATGACATTCGGGGCAGGATAATGACCCATGATATGAAAGACCATGAAAACAGTTGAGACTTATACATTTACAAGTGACATTATTATGAAATGACACTTACGAAATAATATTGCTATGATTACATACGATCAACAATTTATGAACATACCTATGACCATGTTTTTTATTATACTTATGAGTTCATGTTTATGACGTACATGTTTACACAACTGTTTTGATTTCTACACTAGCTATTTCTTTTCATGTTATATACGATTCTAACATGTTGTGACTTATATGTGGACGTACAATTTTCTTATAGTATGCACATTATTTCCTTTTCGTATATAAAATCATATTTTAGTCTTGATTATTTTTCTGAGCTCGTTGTTGCTCACTCTATGTTGTTGCCTTTTAGGTAGGGGCAATTAGCACCGGAACGAGTAGCTAGGCTTGATTTGTACAGTTTGACACTATATAGTTTGGTGGCTGTTGAAATCAATTTTTGATGTTTTTTGTATCTAACGTTTCTTTTTGTGTCATGGGACTGTAACCCAGTGATACATATGCTCTCGTGACGTAGACGGTCGACAAAACCATTTTCACGCGCGAATCATGGTCAAATTGGCTTGATAATCGACAAATTTATTCAAATGACATCGGATGACGAAACGGAGCGCGAACGCATCCAAAATGTCGAATTTGCCTAGGGACGACACCCATATTGCAAGGGTTTCCTGCACGAGTTAAAACACACAAGTTGAGACATTAAAATATATTTAAAAGGGCTAAACAATAAAAAAAGAGAAAGAAAAACTTTAAAAACTATTTTTTTATCAAACAGGGAGCTCTCCGCTTGGTTTTTCATGAGCAGAACCCTAGCCCCAATTTCACTCGTGGCCTCTTTCTATTTGGACGCGTGGCTCTCCCTAGTGGAGTCGCCAAATTTGTTTTCATTCTTTTTACATTGGAGTCGCCAGCTTAGCTAATCATTTTCATATTATTCTTGTTTCCAATAAACTCCTTTATGAATTATCGAAATGTTTGAATAAGGAAAGACACCAGAAAATAAAAAAAATACGATGAGAGCAAACAAAAAAAAAATATGACGAAGCAAAAGGAACGTGGAGAACTTACATTATAGTGATCCTTGTATGATAGGCCAAAGGCATATGTCCAAAATGAATTAGAGCAAAATGCTTTGAAACCATATTTATGAAGAAAGCCTTAATGTAAGTAACCCACATACCAGAGAAATTAGAGATTTTCATCCTCTGTTTTGGGCTCAAGAGTAACTCCCAAATGAATGTGTTCATTTGGTTAATTACATCTTGGGGGATACCCAAGAACGCTCTCGATTAATTAGAAGTCTTGCTTACACTTATGATAACTGGTTAAGAGAGTGAATTAAAGGAAATAGTTACTCCAAATAGGAACGTTTCAGTGCTTCAAAGCCTATACCGAGCTGTAAGGGTGGAGAAAAATATCTTGCATCCCCAATGGACATCGACCCATCAACAAACGAGGCCTTACGATGTAACTGGGTCATCAAGCTTCAACACAAGCATGGTAGGTTCATCTTCATCTTTAATGCAGTGTATTTGAATCGAATTTAATGAATAGGTTCGACTCTTACATTAGGTAGCGGCAAAGATGCTTAGGCTTCCTCTTTTGCTGGTGCAGGTTTGGCTTCAGTAAACAAAATGGAACTCCAATGCTCGGTTTCGACGAATGGGGGATGAACTTTTAACACTCATTTTTGATGAACAAAGATGGAATTACCGACGCTTGGCTTCGACGAATGTTTGATGCACATTCAAAGCTCTGTTTTGACGAATGTCTTAGAGAGCTTTGACAATAAAACTTAATTATGAATGCACATATATTTATAATTTTCTATTTTCTGCATCAAAATTTTCCTCAATTCGTATCAAGCCTGTGTCCAATGCCATGTCGAGGCATGACTTGAATGTGCATGAGTCCGAAAAATATTTAAACACATTTTGCAAGGTCGGAGGTATGTCGGAGTCTTGTCCATCTCCAACACATGTTTGACACGAGTATGATGCTTTTTAAGTATGTGTTGGTGTTACATAGCTTTTGATGATAGAAAATTAATAAAGTCCGGTTTGGCTATTGAATTAGCCATAATTTTTCTCCTTCATGTACTTTTTGGCATATTTCTAAATGATAACTTCAAAAGGATTTTGATGCTAGCCTAAAAAGCTTGTATCATTTTTTTTTAAAAGCTCTAGGGCAAATATATTAAAGTGGAAAATATACAGA